ATGCATCAATTAATCAGATTATAAAGGGCTTTCGCTACGTATTACAATCACAGAATTAATCTGCCGGTATTAAATCGCATTTCTCGAATCTTGACTTAACCATTTTTTAAATTAACCTGCCTATTGAAACTAAGCCTAAACACCAATTCTCATCTCTCGAATCTCGAATGAATATTGCATAACTCATACAATTAAAACAGGTCTAATCTAATTGCATAGCATTAAATCAATCAATAGGAAATCAATCAAGCATTGACAATCAACAATAATAAACTACCCCTTCATATTATTTATGGATCCCCATAACCCTAGAATTAAACTACTCACACATAATTAAATCTAAACTAATCAAAGCAATTAAGCAAGACATAATTAATCTAAGCAATAAAATTACTGAAAATAAAAGGGAAGAAATCGTTACCAAAATAAACGGAAATGATGAATTGTATAAATCTCAAGAGTGTAGAGAGAGAAAGTAAGAGTATTAACAAAAGCTTAAAACTAAATCCGAAAATTAAGTAAAGAGTGTAAATACGTGCTTAACTTCCTAAAACAAAACGTATTTATACTTAGGCTAAAAAGATAAAACAAATTAAATCATGGAACTCTTCAGAAACATGCGCCCGGTCAGGCGGAGGTTCGCCCGGTCGGGCGCGACTCAAGGCAAAGGCTTCTTTTTCTTCTATATGTCTCGCCCGGCCGGGCGCTTCTCAGGGCGAGGGCTTGCCCGGTCAGGCGAGCTCTCGAGCAAACATGGACCTTTTCACTTTTGGGCTATTTCTCTTGGCCCAATTCCGAATTTCCTCTTGGGTCTTGAGTACTTGGTCCATTGCCTTGATCTCTTCTATGCCGAGCCCTTAATCACTGATTTGATGACCCCAATCGGTCTTGGGCTATGAAATACGGTCATAATTCTCCAATGCTCGTAGTGGTTTATCATAAGTCCGGGAAAATGCTCCAAATCTGCAATTTCCTATAAAATAGTACCAAAACTACGAAAACACTAGAAAATGCATATTAGTAATAAAAGTGACTCCAAAGAGCCAATAATACTCCTAAAAATGACCAAGGGATGGGGGTAAAATCACTATATATAATGAACATATCATCTATACTATAACCTATTGGAAAAAAAAATGATCAAGTAAATAGACACAAATTACAAGCCCACACCATGAAGGAGTAAAGTCGGAATACCTTCCCAACATTGTCATAATGATGCTTCAACACTTCCCCTCTAGCAAGGGACCTTCTGCCCTTCAGTTTTAGGGATCTTCTTTCTCGATTGGCCTTTAAAGGCTGCTGCCAACTTCCTTTTCTTACTCTTCTGCTTCAAGTAATCCTTAATGACTAACCATCATCTTCCTCATACTCCGATTGCGTAGAACCAGAAGCTTCAGTAACAGGCTCCAATGCAGTTTGTTTCTGTTTACCTCTTTTCAGATTGGACTTCGCCTTAACAGCCTTAACAACAACACCTTTTGTATTAACAGCCTTAACAGCAACACCTTTTGAATTACCAGCATCCCCTTTTGACGTTCCAGACTTTGAACATGACTACCAAGTACCATAACAAAACAAATAACCACTGTCAGCTTACATATTAAAGAAAATAACCACAATTTTAATAGTTGAATTCCATAGGAACACTCACCCCCATCCGTTTCCAAGAAAAATTCTGAACTACAGACTTATTCCTCATCGTCTTCTTCGCTTTATAACAAACCCTATTTCAAAGGCAAAGTAAATACATTTTCATTTGAAGATAAATTAACAGAACTACAATTCACCCAACACCACATGCATCATTACAACCATAATTGGCACCCATGCATCATGCAACATTCTCAATAATAACTTTATAGGATCATAATTACATTATCTTAATCAGCAACACCCAGGAACTCAACATGTGCAAAAGCATTTATCAACACCAGCATTTCAATATAAACCAAAGGCATGTGCAAAACCAATTCAATCCTTGCTACAATAAAAATCAACTACTATGCAACTGGACATTAAAGAGAATTAAACGACCATTTCCATAAAGCTCAATGTCAACACATGTGCAGAACCATTATAAATCTAATCAACTAGTATGCAATGAAAGTTCTGTTAGACTCATACTTCCAACACATGTGCACATTATAGGCTTTATAGCTTATTCTCCCCAAATGATCCCAACCTCTCTCTGGCTCTAGTATTATTCATTTATTTGTTGTTTATGTCCAAGATGGAGTTAATATGCTATTGCTTAGCACTAACCTAGTGACTCTTAAGGATTAACCATGACCACACACTGATTAACCGCCACATATCTGCAACCGATAAAGGGTTTAATGTTACAGAAGTTTACACATTCTAACACATCAAAAGGGTAACTAACAATTGCATATGAATCGGCATGCACCAAGTACTTGTCCACTAATCAACCAACTACAGCTACAGGCACGCTAGAATTTGACGAAATGTTTTATTTCTGCATCATTCATTATTGATTTCCTCTATTATTTACAGTCTGGCAAGAAAAATAAGAAAATAAAAAAAAAAAAAAAAAAAATTGCCCTAGTAAGTGCATTGTAATCATTACTTTTCTTAGCTCTATCAACTTTATAACACCGGAAAATTTTGAGTAGCTTAAGAAAAGCATAAATACAATCACATGCCAAAATCCCAAACATATTATCCTATCGACTGTTCTTTCTTATAAAGTGCATGTATAAAGCATCAACATGTCACTGCCACAGTTAGTATAATCAGTCTAGTGGGAATTTAAAGAGAATATGAGGAGAGCTACTTACAAGAAGAATGGGATAAAAAAATGCTTCAACAAAAGTATAGAACAATAAATAACATGAGTAATATGTAAGCAAACTAGTACTAGACCAAAAAACTGTATGTATATATGGATCCAGAGCATAGCTCAAAGTTAGTAATGAAAACGAATTGGATCATAAATATAGCGGTCAATCATTTAACTACCCTTAAAAGGTTTCCCTTGCTTAATACTTATAATACTAAGTATTACTAATTTCTCTAAGGTCCGTATCACAACCACATAATTACCGGTTAGCAAATATAGATCATAAAGTTGAAGATATACATGTAGACTTGTAGAGAAACCCAACTTCATGAAACGTAACCATATCCCTAATCTACCCAAATGATATACTGAAATTCATTTCTGTGAAGAGTTTAAATTCAGCAAGTTGAGTCATTTAGGTCATTTTTCTTATTAAAAACAATTAATTCCACTTCCCTCTCTTTACCAACTCCCATATTCCAGTTAATATACAAACCCAATCAAATCAAACACCAATATGAAATGTGAATTTGGCTGGCAGCACTTTGACTAACACATGTATAAGCCCAGTCAAATCAAACAGCAATATAAGCATAAGTGGGTTCAAAACAAAAACCACAAACAATTTCAAATAGCCACATTCATAATCCCATTCTAAAACCACAAATTCAATTTAAAAGAACAAAATTTTCAAGGTAGCCAATAACCCAATTTTAATCCCCTAACTCATCGGCATTATAAAACCCTAATAAACTCAGTATTCAAAAGTCGAAATGCACAATTAAGCAAAAATCCATTAAACAAACTTCCATTTTCAAATAAACCAACAATCGAAATCAACAAAATTAACCCAGAAAGGGGAACCCTAACAAACTTGCATTATTAAATCCTAACAAACTTGTATTTTCAAATAATCAAAAGGGGAACCAACAAAATTAACCCCCAATTCAATCTCCTTCTTAATAACCCTAAAGTTTTAACTTACCCACAAAAACGACTCAACGTTCTTTGCTTCAACTTTTCACAAGGACGACCACACCTTGAACGAAGATAATAATTAGATAATTACAAGTTTCAACTCAAACTCCAAAGACCATGTTGAAGCGAATAGATAAAGACAGAGCTTTGAAATGAGGGAGAGAGGACAGAGAACGAGCTACAGGAAAGAGAGGACAGAGAAAGGAGAAAGGAGAGAGAGTGAGAGACTAATACAGTACAAATACAGTCAAGAAATACAAAAAAAGAAGTAGAAACGGGCCTGCAAAAATATAAACGGGGGATGACATGGAAATCCACCCAAACCTTTAAAAAGCCTGGGAAAACCCAAAAATGCCCCTTGTTATGCATAAGGAAATGCATAACGATACTCCCTTTAGACAAGCTCCTCAAAATTGGTGAGCAACATCAATATCGGGTTGAATTTGTTAAAAGTAGTTCATTACGGAGTACTGCGTTTAAGGTTAGATTCCGATGGGTTTTTCATTATTTTTTAAAAAGGAAAATTTAGAGTAATTGTTGATAGTAATGGACTTAACAAGTGGGTTTTAATTTGATTTCGGTATTAGAACTTGATATTGATGTTAGTACATTACTCGACTCGAAAACTTTTTACACGTGCTCAACTTGTGCTCGTTACTCGCTAAAGCTCAGTAATAGCTTGATCGACTCGTGCTCATTAAAGTTTCGAGTGAAATCGAGTAGCTCACGATCTTTTATTAAGGTTTAGGTTCTTCTAGGTATCATGGACATTATTCATAGAAAATTACTCAACAATTTTTTTATAAGGAAAATAACTCTAACGAAGTGTATTGTAATAACGTTGTATAAAATGTGTTATCAAATTGCTCACGAGCGTATCAATTCGAGCTAAAGCTTGTTCAACTTGTGATCATTAGTGTTTCATATCTAGCCGAGCAAATTTGAATCAAGTTTTTGAATGGGTTTTAACCAAGTCAAGTTCGAGTTGCTCACGACTACTCAACTCGATAAGATTATTAAACCCAACCGCTTCTAGTTGCAAAACAATTATGAGTAAGTCCTCAACTATTATCAAGCGTTTCCTATAGTATCCTCTGAACATATTGGAATTTTGGAATGCCCTGCGCCCCTGCCCTACTCCTACCTACATCATACAAAGTACATGTAAGTGAGCAGCTGAGCACAATATTGTATTGCATCTTCCAAAACATATTGCGTATAAAAATTAAAATTAAACTCAGCATTGATAGCAATAGATATAGTCAAAGCAGGTAATGTGTCGGATTTTGTTTAATTAGCAAAAATTGATACAAGTAGGGTAAAAACATATATAGTCAAACCAATTACACAAAGCAAAGAAAGGGTCGGGCATTCATATGGATATGCTCACATTCAACAAAAAGACTATCCTTAACTTAACAAAACAGACAAAAGATATACTCTATACACCATTCTCTGCTGCTCTTTTCGGGATAAGTTTTTCTATGATGCTCTTTAGTGCAGGAGCACTCGCAGTGCATTTCTGATCTTCAAAACAGGATTTGCCTTCTTCAGCTGCCTTGCATAGTTGGGGATCCAATGGCACTTTACCTAGAAAAGGGACCCCCATTTCTTGACACATCTTCATGGCACCACCACCACTACTGTCAAAAACTTCGCTATATGCCATTAAATTCAGCAACTCTGGTGCTCTCTCTTTCATGTATTGCAAAGCCCATTCGGTGACATCACTCTGTTCACTAGTACCTGACGGCTTCAAGAATTTGATATCTCTCAATGGTTGGCATAAGCCACTCATGTTCTCTACCACCCCAAGGACATTAATTCCAACTTTTTTGCAGAAGCTTACTTCTTTCCGTACATCAATCAAAGATACTTGCTGTGGAGTTGTGACAATAATGGCACCATCTATGCCAGTCTCCAGAAGGCATTGAACAATTGAAATGTGTTCATCAGAAGTGCCCGGTGGAGCATCAACCACAAGATAATCAAGCTCTCCCCAATACACATCCTTGAGAAACTGCTTGATAAGACCATTCTTGCGAGGGCCCCTCCAGATGACAGCTTCATCTGGGTTAGGAAGCATGAAACCAATTGACATAACACCAAGGTTGGACTCAACGTAACAAGGAGACCATCCAAGATTGCTCTGATGGATGTCTTGCCCTTCTAGGCCAAGCATTTTTGGTATACTCGGTCCACAGATGTCTATGTCAAGTAAACCGACCTGGTAATCCATGGCGGCTAAGGCAAATGAGAGCTGAGCAGAAAATGTGCTCTTGCCAACCCCTCCCTTGCCCGACAAAACCAGTATTTTGTGCTTCACTGTTGCCATTCTCTCTGCTATTGGAAGCAAGTCTGCAAAAGGATGGAAAAACATAGCCATTAGAGGTCTTGGAATAATAACATTTGGACATACCATATTTCAATGTAATACCAAAAAAAAAAATGGCAATAAAGGAGAACCAACATAATTATTATAGCATTACCCAGTCCAACAACAAGAGAGCAAGGGTAACATTATTACAACAACAAAAAAGCCTTAGTCCCAAAATGATTTGGGGTTGGCTAACATGAATCGTCATAAGGAATCGTCCGAAAAAGAATAAAGGACATAACAAGATAACCGGTTGAAAAAGTTTGAAAAAAGGTGTAAAGTTAAAGTGAGCAAGGGTATCATTAACAGTAAATAAAAACTTCATTTATACAATCACTTAAACAAGTCAGGGAAAAATAAAAATTAATAATTCAGTCCTCATTCGTACCACCACTATGTTCACTGGAGCCCAATTCGGATGACAATAGCCCCACTAAAGCCTAGACTGTGACCAACTGCCAGGAGAAACAGACAAATACAGTCAAACAAAATTCTTATTCTCTATCAAAGTCATGGAAGAAATGCGAGAGATCCCCAGACAATTAAGGTGCATGTCACAAGCATTTAGGAAGGAAGTGAACAAGATCTGTACCCAAAGCTCGTAAATTATAGGCAAAGTGAATAAAAATCAGTTGCAACGCGAGAGGCTACAAATTTAAGCATCAGATTCACCAAGGCAGATAGCAAGTTCAAGCCCTAAACCCATTGACCCCTATAAATTAAATTGTGCTAGATGGAATTGTCTCATAATAGTATAGTATTCATGAAGATCTAGCAAACAAGTCAATGGCATGTACAAATTCCAGGTCAATGTGAAGTTAAAGCAGTAAAGTAAGAAGCCTAGGTGAAGGGACACGAGCACAAACAAGGAGGTACTGCAGAAATGGAGCAAACACAATAATTATACAACCAGGGTCAAACACAGGGGAGAATCCCCAAAGGGGGGGGGGGGGCATGTCATAAAACATTAGGAAGCTTCCAGCCAAACGGTTGTTGTAGCCATTATTAAATTGCAACTAACAAGATTAACAAATTAGTACATTGTTTGATATTCTACCAAGGTATTTGCATGTTAAGATGGATGTGCGGGAAAACTCTAAGAGATAGAATCAGAAATGAAGTTATTCGCAAGAAAGTGGGTGTCGCAGGCATTGCATACAAACTAAGGGAAAATCGCTTGCGTTGGTTTGGGCATATAAGACAGAGACCCCATGGTGCACCGGTACGAAGAGTGGAAGAGTGGGATCATGGAGAGGTTAAACAAGGTTGAGGGAAGCCGAAAATGACTTGGTTGCAAGGAGTCGGGAAGGATATGAAGCATTTAAATTTAAGTGAGAAGAGGTATTTTGATCGTAAGGGATGGAGGAGGAACATTTTTGTGGATGACTATACGGAATAATCACTTGTGGTTCATGTAGCTAACCCCACTTATGGGATTAAGGCTTTGATTGATTGATTTGATATTCTACCACCCACTCAGTGCACCAACCAAAGTACTATACTTATCCATAGACCAACAATTTGAAATTCAGCCAAAATTAACAACACGGAAATACAACGGCTTTTGTAAAGGAGTTTTAATAATGGGTGTACAATGTCAATGTTATTGGATGTATCTTAGGGCATCATAAGAGGAGGAACAAACTGTTAAATAAGTAAACACACACCAAAGCAGGAAAATTTAAAAAGGAAAATTTAGAGTAATTGTTGATAGTAATGGACTTAACAAGTGGGTTTTAATTTGATTTCGGTATTAGAACTTGATATTGATGTTAGTACATTACTCGACTCGAAAACTTTTTACACGTGCTCAACTTGTGCTCGTTACTCGCTAAAGCTCAGTAATAGCTTGATCGACTCGTGCTCATTAAAGTTTCGAGTGAAATCGAGTAGCTCACGATCTTTTATTAAGGTTTAGGTTCTTCTAGGTATCATGGACATTATTCATAGAAAATTACTCAACAATTTTTTTATAAGGAAAATAACTCTAACGAAGTGTATTGTAATAACGTTGTATAAAATGTGTTATCAAATTGCTCACGAGCGTATCAATTCGAGCTAAAGCTTGTTCAACTTGTGATCATTAGTGTTTCATATCTAGCCGAGCAAATTTGAATCAAGTTTTTGAATGGGTTTTAACCAAGTCAAGTTCGAGTTGCTCACGACTACTCAACTCGATAAGATTATTAAACCCAACCGCTTCTAGTTGCAAAACAATTATGAGTAAGTCCTCAACTATTATCAAGCGTTTCCTATAGTATCCTCTGAACATATTGGAATTTTGGAATGCCCTGCGCCCCTGCCCTACTCCTACCTACATCATACAAAGTACATGTAAGTGAGCAGCTGAGCACAATATTGTATTGCATCTTCCAAAACATATTGCGTATAAAAATTAAAATTAAACTCAGCATTGATAGCAATAGATATAGTCAAAGCAGGTAATGTGCCGGATTTTGTTTAATTAGCAAAAATTGATACAAGTAGGGTAAAAACATATATAGTCAAACCAATTACACAAAGCAAAGAAAGGGTCGGGCATTCATATGGATATGCTCACATTCAACAAAAAGACTATCCTTAACTTAACAAAACAGACAAAAGATATACTCTATACACCATTCTCTGCTGCTCTTTTCGGGATAAGTTTTTCTATGATGCTCTTTAGTGCAGGAGCACTCGCAGTGCATTTCTGATCTTCAAAACAGGATTTGCCTTCTTCAGCTGCCTTGCATAGTTGGGGATCCAATGGCACTTTACCTAGAAAAGGGACCCCCATTTCTTGACACATCTTCATGGCACCACCACCACTACTGTCAAAAACTTCGCTATATGCCATTAAATTCAGCAACTCTGGTGCTCTCTCTTTCATGTATTGCAAAGCCCATTCGGTGACATCACTCTGTTCACTAGTACCTGACGGCTTCAAGAATTTGATATCTCTCAATGGTTGGCATAAGCCACTCATGTTCTCTACCACCCCAAGGACATTAATTCCAACTTTTTTGCAGAAGCTTACTTCTTTCCGTACATCAATCAAAGATACTTGCTGTGGAGTTGTGACAATAATGGCACCATCTATGCCAGTCTCCAGAAGGCATTGAACAATTGAAATGTGTTCATCAGAAGTGCCCGGTGGAGCATCAACCACAAGATAATCAAGCTCTCCCCAATACACATCCTTGAGAAACTGCTTGATAAGACCATTCTTGCGAGGGCCCCTCCAGATGACAGCTTCATCTGGGTTAGGAAGCATGAAACCAATTGACATAACACCAAGGTTGGACTCAACGTAACAAGGAGACCATCCAAGATTGCTCTGATGGATGTCTTGCCCTTCTAGGCCAAGCATTTTTGGTATACTCGGTCCACAGATGTCTATGTCAAGTAAACCGACCTGGTAATCCATGGCGGCTAAGGCAAATGAGAGCTGAGCAGAAAATGTGCTCTTGCCAACCCCTCCCTTGCCCGACAAAACCAGTATTTTGTGCTTCACTGTTGCCATTCTCTCTGCTATTGGAAGCAAGTCTGCAAAAGGATGGAAAAACATAGCCATTAGAGGTCTTGGAATAATAACATTTGGACATACCATATTTCAATGTAATACCAAAAAAAAAATGGCAATAAAGGAGAACCAACATAATTATTATAGCATTACCCAGTCCAACAACAAGAGAGCAAGGGTAACATTATTACAACAACAAAAAAGCCTTAGTCCCAAAATGATTTGGGGTTGGCTAACATGAATCGTCATAAGGAATCGTCCGAAAAAGAATAAAGGACATAACAAGATAACCGGTTGAAAAAGTTTGAAAAAAGGTGTAAAGTTAAAGTGAGCAAGGGTATCATTAACAGTAAATAAAAACTTCATTTATACAATCACTTAAACAAGTCAGGGAAAAATAAAAATTAATAATTCAGTCCTCATTCGTACCACCACTATGTTCACTGGAGCCCAATTCGGATGACAATAGCCCCACTAAAGCCTAGACTGTGACCAACTGCCAGGAGAAACAGACAAATACAGTCAAACAAAATTCTTATTCTCTATCAAAGTCATGGAAGAAATGCGAGAGATCCCCAGACAATTAAGGTGCATGTCACAAGCATTTAGGAAGGAAGTGAACAAGATCTGTACCCAAAGCTCGTAAATTATAGGCAAAGTGAATAAAAATCAGTTGCAACGCGAGAGGCTACAAATTTAAGCATCAGATTCACCAAGGCAGATAGCAAGTTCAAGCCCTAAACCCATTGACCCCTATAAATTAAATTGTGCTAGATGGAATTGTCTCATAATAGTATAGTATTCATGAAGATCTAGCAAACAAGTCAATGGCATGTACAAATTCCAGGTCAATGTGAAGTTAAAGCAGTAAAGTAAGAAGCCTAGGTGAAGGGACACGAGCACAAACAAGGAGGTACTGCAGAAATGGAGCAAACACAATAATTATACAACCAGGGTCAAACACAGGGGAGAATCCCCAAAGGGGGGGGGGGGGCATGTCATAAAACATTAGGAAGCTTCCAGCCAAACGGTTGTTGTAGCCATTATTAAATTGCAACTAACAAGATTAACAAATTAGTACATTGTTTGATATTCTACCAAGGTATTTGCATGTTAAGATGGATGTGCGGGAAAACTCTAAGAGATAGAATCAGAAATGAAGTTATTCGCAAGAAAGTGGGTGTCGCAGGCATTGCATACAAACTAAGGGAAAATCGCTTGCGTTGGTTTGGGCATATAAGACAGAGACCCCATGGTGCACCGGTACGAAGAGTGGAAGAGTGGGATCATGGAGAGGTTAAACAAGGTTGAGGGAAGCCGAAAATGACTTGGTTGCAAGGAGTCGGGAAGGATATGAAGCATTTAAATTTAAGTGAGAAGAGGTATTTTGATCGTAAGGGATGGAGGAGGAACATTTTTGTGGATGACTATACGGAATAATCACTTGTGGTTCATGTAGCTAACCCCACTTATGGGATTAAGGCTTTGATTGATTGATTTGATATTCTACCACCCACTCAGTGCACCAACCAAAGTACTATACTTATCCATAGACCAACAATTTGAAATTCAGCCAAAATTAACAACACGGAAATACAACGGCTTTTGTAAAGGAGTTTTAATAATGGGTGTACAATGTCAATGTTATTGGATGTATCTTAGGGCATCATAAGAGGAGGAACAAACTGTTAAATAAGTAAACACACACCAAAGCAACATGCAGTTTCAATCCAAAAAATCCATGTCCACACCGGTGACCCATACAACTACAAAGCATTCTGACAAATATAAACACACAACAAAGTAATCACATTCACTAGATGTTTAAGAGACTAAACTAGACAAGCTAACAACTAGCATGTTATTTATTCATCTCTTTCCCGGGGAGAACAACCAAATGTCTCAAATTATGAATCACCCAAGTTTGTACAACAGTACACGTACAGAGCCACACAACATGAAAACAAAATGTACACCATTGGACTCTAGTTTCAAGAATACCAATGCTCATAATGTGCCATTTCATGGAATAATATAGGTTAATGCGAATTTTCAAATTACAAAACAAACTCATCTATTTTTGTAACATTAATCTAAATACTCTAAAATATTGAATATGTTCCATTTGATGTATGCACGTCTCTGTAATATTTGAGTGAAAAAGCTATACCTCAATCCAATATCAAGTGGCGTACGTAAAAATGAATTTCAAAGCACATCATATTTCAAATTATCTGACTCTATTTTAATACGAAGTATTATCTCAATAGCAATCCGCTTATCCAGCATCTACGTACCTGGATCAGGGCCTTTGGGTGCAGTGGCACAAATTTGTTGATTTGGGCAGCCTTGGCATGCATCCGACTTTCCAGCTGCTTCAGATTGTGTACCCGGGCAGTCTGATAGCAAAAAAGACACTTAAATATTAACAAGTAGTTTAAGAAATAAACCTTAATAATTAGTGTAGCTTTAGAAAAGTTTAATATTGATATTGTTTGATAAACGGAACTAGGCCAGCCTTTTTTTATCACTTTTACTTTCTTCAAAAGTTCAAACAGCAAAAAGTATATATTTTGTCAAAGGTATTTTTTGCTAAATGTATAAACTAACTGCAGAGACTTATTTACTCCTGCTTTTTTTAGCCAAAAATGAAAAGATTGATTAGTATAAACATCAACACTGACCAAATGGACCAGCCAACCCCAAACCGATCATTGCTAAACAAGGACAATATACGAAATCAACGGAGAAGAAAACGAGAAAACTTACGTTCATTTGCATCTTCTGGAATGTCACCGTTCCCACTGTTCTCCATTACTTACCGCTGTAAAACTTCTGTAATTACAATACAAAACACGAAAAAAAAAAATAAAAAAAAAATCAACAACTAGAAAGACATAGTCCCAAAAAGATATGTGCTTGGCCATCGTGAATCGCCATAAGGAGCCATTCTCGAAATATGAAACAGGAAAAATAAAGAGATAGTTACTGAAACTTAAAAAAAGAAAAGTGAGAGTGAAAGTTGGAGAAGACAAGAGAATACACAAGGAGCAAGAAAACAAGGGTGGTATAATGTGGAAACCCAACAAAGGACTCCTCCTGGTTTTCTCCAAGTCTTTGCCTACCCCTCAAAATCCCATCACTTTGCCACTTTTTAAGCCTCCTAACTAGTTTGTCTTACATTGCTAAACTGCCTTTGGCAATACTAAACTATGATATAAAAAGGGTCATGTGTAAAATCATGACGTACTCCGATTGTAATAAGGAGCCCTTTTGTCTTTCCTATACTATAGACCACATAACTGCGCTAGCTCCCACATACATGCCCTAATATATCAATACATATCAAATGCCTTTCTTTGTTAAAGCCCACCAAAGTACTTCCCGAAGTACTCTATAATAATACTGAATCAACGAAAACCATTAGTAAATCATACTTATTTCAAAAGTTTTCCATATGTAAAACAATATACATTTCATGTAAGAAAATACGACAAAGATGGAAATAGAAACAATCAAAAAAAAAAAAGAGGAAATGATAAAATCTAAAGGAATTTTAAAAATAAATTATGATTTCATAGACACCAGGATAAGACTAAGACTAAAGAATCTAGATTTGGACCTTATTTGTACACTAATGCTCAAGGAAGAAAAATATTATCAAATGAGATGTCATAAAATTTATATAATGTTTAACCTCTCAAATGAGAAAATTTCATAATTATTAATACAAATTAAAGAAATTTAGTGATAAACAAACAAAAATAAAAGTTATTTGCTTAAATAAGTTGAACCGGACATCGCCCAAAACAAGTTCAGAGCTTGTCTACAATAAAAAGAAATACTATATTTTCACTTGTTTTCTGATAATCATTCCATTAAAACTTGATGCAAGAGAACCCAAAGGCTACAATAAGCATGACAAATCTAATATGTGCACACACCCATTGTAATACACCTTTAACTAGCATATTCAACCATAAACCGACAATGTTCTCCATATTTTGGGCGACTGAAAAACAGGAGGTTTCCAATGTTTAAACCAATAACACACCCACAAATTCAAAACTTGTCAACTTAAAGCAGAAGCATCCCTAAAATTGAAAGTGCTCCAGCCACAATTGACTTAAAGGTAGGCCTTACCAATTACAAGCTGTTAGTCCAATGGTCCAATCTAAAGACTACAAACACTTATACAGTTCAAGTTGATATATTTTAAAATTACTAATAACATATAATTATCTGAAAAAAAACAGAAAACACATTCTTCTAAGTATAGTCATTTCAATGAACTCAATTCCACCGGTTCACATATCAGTAACTACTTCCCGTATTTTATTCCCAATAATTCATCACAGCCCTGCTGTAAAATTTGGGATGGAAACATCAACAAAAATTGAGTATCACCACTTCATTTTATTCAAAATAATTAGCTTAAAAACATTCAAAGAATAAAGGATATACAATAAGCAACAACCCACTTCGATATCAGATTCTATCTTTCAGTCACCATTAGATTTCATATTAGAAATGAATAATGAAACAAGAGCAAATTAATGACTTTCACATATAATAACAACATTCAAATCTTTTCACCCTAGCATACTTCCAATATCCAAAAGACAACCACAAGTAAAAAGTTATAAACATAACATTAGAATCAAAATTTCCTTTCCTCAATCAAAATATTCGATTTATTCCCAAGTATATGAGTAAGAAGACCAATTATTTGTAAGTTGCAACTTCCCCATCAATTATTTCTGATTCGATTTCTCACCAATCTATCAAATTTAATCAATATTGTTTTAATTGAAGAAATGAACGTCATACGTAATTTCATAGTTGAATCGTAACATTAAAGGGTTCTGCAATACATTAACGACAAAATTTGATTCAATTATCAAATAATTTTAGGGACATTTGATTCAATTACCAAATTAGTCTCATAATTTTGTATTCTAGCAACATAATCGCTGGTTATAATGTTTCATAATCTTAGGAATTAGAACCAATAGTTGAGATTTTCGAACCCTAAACTTACTACACTGACAATTAAATTAAATAAAATGGATAAAAGATAAACCCTAGATTATGAAATTGATATGATGGTTACAAAAATAAACAACTTACCTCAGAAGCTGCTTCAATGGAGGATACAAGTATTAGAGGTCGCTTCAATGGAGAACGTCAAGTGCGCTTCAATGGAGAACTGAGAGAGAGAAACGTTTATCCGGGTTTTTTTTTTTAAGAAAAATTAATGGGAATAATCCCACCTATAGGCTGTTCGTTTTTAATAATCCTACCTTTGGAATATTTTTAAATAATCCCACCTTTACCCCCAATCTGCTCACAATGATACCAGGCGACGGTTACCTGTTAATAAGGTAATTTTTTATTATTTTTTTTTGGGTTTGAAGTACACGTGTTAGTATTTAAAAATATTCTTTTAGAGGTGTCATCAAGCAAGGAAGAGGAAGAGGCAGAAATCACAGTCGACATCTACACCGTCGTCGTCGCCGTCGAGATAGGTCAGGAAACTCAGGAGAGAGGCTGAGTTTTTGGCCTTTACAGAGAAAAGAGGGTTAATAAAATATTTTTAAAATGATTTTTAAAAAAAAAAAAAGGGAGAGAGGCTGGAATTGCAGCAACCATCAGGGAGGCCAGCCACCGCACTCGATCGGAGCTTGCAACAACCATCAAATCAGAGCTCACCGAATTGCAGCAACCATCACGGAGGCCAGAATAAGGACGGGGGATGGTGAGGAAGGTCAAACTCGAGCCGGGGAAAGGGGAGGGAGGCCGGAATAGGGACGGGGAAGGGGAGAGAAAAAAAAAAATTAATTGAACCACCCCATCCCAGCCCATTGCCAACACCACTGGCCACCCTAACCCAGCCCCTCACCCGAAACAACCGTAACCCAGCCCCTCACCGTCAACAACCGCGCGCTCACCAAAAACAACCCTAACCCAACCCCTCACCATCAACAACCGCCAACAACATCAATCGAAATTCGTAGCCCCACAAATCGCAGCAATAAGCATACAGCCTAATTCGAAATTGGCAGCCCCATATGATCGGCGACCCCACATAATCGGACCGCATGTGGTGTTTTCAGCGAAGGAGTGGGGGTTGTTGTGGTTTCGGGGGAAGAGAAGGTTGAAAATGGTTACGGTGGTTTCGGGGGAGTGGGGTTGTGGTGTTTTCAGTGAAGGGGGAGTAAGATGCGGTTGGTTTCAGGTGAAGGGGGAGTGGGAGTAGGGTTGCGGTGGTTTTAAATGAAGGGGGTGGAGCTGTAGTGGTTGTTTGGTGGTTTCAAATGAAGGGGGTGGGGCTGGGAAGAAGGGAAAGGGGATGGGGAAATGGGAAAAAAAAGTTTTTTTTTTAATTTTTTCTTTTAAAATATCTAACTTTAATTAAAAAAAATATATTTTTTTGACCATTCACAGGCCGCTATGTGTCATGTAACCTGTTACCATTAAAAAAGATCGAGCCCCAAAGGTGGGATTATTAAAAACGAACGGCCTAATGGTGGGATTATTCCCATGAATTTTTCCGTTTTTTTATTCTTACTGTTGACAATTAGAGCTAATTAATGGGTCAGAACCCCATTAAAAGTCCTGACTTGCCCTAGTTATAAAAGAGTTAAATCCATCTAGTAAAGAAATGGGGCGGGTCATAATACGGTCATGAGGTTGTCCAATTATGGGTCATGATGAAATTTGAAATTAAAAGTAAATCTCTTTTACAACATACAAATTACAGAGTATCAATATTCCTTCCCTCTTCGCCGAAAACACCACAGGTCGTCCGATTATGTGGGGCCGTCCGATTATATGGGGCTGCCTATTTCTAATTAAGTTGTATGCTTGTTGCTGCGATTTGTGGGGCTATGAATTTCGATTGATGTTGTGAGCGGTTGTTGATGATGAGGGGTTGGGTTAGGGTTGTTTCTGGTGAGCGCGAGGTTGTTGACGGTGACAGGCTGGGTTACGGTTGTTTCAGTTGAGGGCCTGGATTAGGGTGGCCAGTGGTGTTGGTAATGGGGCTGGCTGGGGTGGTTCAATTAATTATTTTTTCTCTCCCCTTCCCCATCCCTATTCCGGCCTCCCTCCCCTTCCCCGGCTCGAGTTCGACCTTCCTCACCGTCCCCCGTCCCTATTCCGGCCTCTCTCATGGTTGCTGCAATTCGGCGAGCTCCGATTTGATGGTTGTTGCAAGCTCCGATAGAGTGCAGTGGCTGGCTGGCCTCCCTGATGATTGCTGCAATTCCAACCTCACTCCCTTTTTTTAAAAAAAAAAATCATTTTAAAAATATTTTATTAACCCTCTTTTCTCTGTAACCTCTCTCCTGAGTTTCCTGACCTATCTCGATGGCGACGACGACGGTGTAGATGTCGACTGTGATTTCTGTGCCTCTTCCTCTTCCTTGCTTGATGACACCTCTAAAAGAATATTTTTAAATACTAACACGTGTACTTCAAACCCAAAAAATAATAAATTACCTTACAGGTAACCGGATAATTGGGAGCAGATTGAGGGTAAAGGTGGGATTATTTAAAAATATTCCAAAGGTGGGATTATTAAAAACGCACGGCCTAAAGGTGGGATTATTCCCATGAATTTTTTCTTTTTTTTTATTCTTGCTGTTGACAATTAGAGCTAATTAATGGGTCAGAACCCCATTAAAAGTCCTGACTTGCCCCAGTTATAAAAGAGTTAAATCCATCTAGTAAAGAAATGGGGCGGGTCATAATACGGTCATGAGGTTGTCCAATTATGGGTCATGACGAAATTTGAAATTAAAAGTAAATCTCTTTTACAACATACAAATTACAGAGTATCAATTTTCCTTCCATCTTTCCATTTTCTCAAGTACCATCTTCACAAAACAAATGAAATCTTTTGACGCTTCCTTTTCTCTGTTTTGTCCCCTCCCTCTTCTCTCTTATACGGTTTTAGTTTTCTTGGTCGTTTACAGTGGCGGAGCAGGATTTTCAACTTGGTGGGACAAAAAGCTTTAACTTGACAAAAAACTTAACGAAAAGAAAAAAACAAAAAAAAAAAAAAAAAACTCAAACACACAAATTGGTTAATACCTAACATTAAAATTCGACTCATTTTCATTGAGTTTCGGTCTTTTAAACAAGAATTGTCGAAGATCGGGTTGTTTACTAGTTGCCTTGGATTTGTTTGAATTAGGTGAATCTTTTGACATTTCCTAATTAAATTGAAAAATATATATCAATTTCCACATTCCACAATTCCACATCATTACATAATAATAAAACCTAAATTTCTAAATTTCTAATTCAACTATACATTTCAATAAATTCACAAAAACAGGAGAAAAAAATGTAATCAAAAGTTCACAAAATTAACTATACATTTCATTATTTCAATAAATTCACAAAAACAGAAGAATAAACAAGTAATAAACCAATTAACCAACAGATTTCAATATTCAGAGATTTCAATAAGACAATAAACCAACACATTTCAAAATTTCAATAGTTCAATACTTCAAATCTTCAATACCCAGAATAATTGAAAAAAAGTATAAACTATAAAACAATTAAACAAGTAATAAACTAATAATTCAGAGATTAAATTCAGATTTACATACCGTGAATTGGGTCTAGCGAAGTGAGCGAAGTCGAATGGAGAGCAGCGAGTCCAGCGACGAGCCGACGAACGGACGAAGCAGTGAATCACGAAGCAGCGACGCCGGCGACTCGACGGACGGAGGGACGGAGTGCCGGGAGTGGAGCCGACGAGCGAGAGCGGCGGACTGGCAGAGGATTTTCGAACTTCGAAGAGAGAGGAAAGAGGAAAGTTAGGTTTCACTTATCAGAGTTCAGTTTTCTTTTCTTCCTTCTTTCTGGCTTTCTGTCCGTTACTCTTCTTATTTTATTTTTTTATTTTTATTTTTTATAAAAGTAAGGGGACAGTTGTCCCTATGTCCCTTACTGACTCCGCCCTGGTCATTTAAATCGAAAATAATCTAATTTTTTTATTTATTCTTTTTCTTTAATTTAATACAGTTTTTTTTTTTAAATATGTCTTTTGTTTTATTTTGCTTTGATTTGCTCTGTCTATTTATGAGAGTTTGTCGTAAGTTTTTTTTTTTTTTTTGGGATTTTAATTGTCATCTATGGATGAGAATTTTATTTTTAGGGTTATGATATTAATTGAAAAGGTGATTTGGATTCATATGGATTTAGGATTTGTCAACAGCCGTACGATTAAAACATCAACACTGGTTGTTAAGGCCTCTATTTGGAAATATGCAAAAACATCGAAAATCACTATTCTCGTCAAAGCTTGAAGCGGTGAAATGTGAATTATGCATAATATGCAAATTTGCTACGATTTTGATTGTAAAAGTTATGTAAATTTCTCTAAATTTGTGATCTACAAATCAGCAATCATCAATATATTATACTATAAGATAAGTGAATCAATGTGGAGCTGACAAGTATCACTTTATGATTCGCTTGTCTTATACTACGTATATATAATATTATCTCTAAAAAGGACTTAACATATTTAATTGCATGTTTTTGGTTAGTTTTTATTATACAAATTATATTAATTCTACATAATTGATTACATTTCCAATATGATAAGTTTTTTCATTATTTATATATTTATGAATTGGTTATTTTGTTTATTTAATTTCAACAATATATTTATATTTTTGTTACACTTTATGTAATCACTATCTAAATATCTAATGTAATTTAGACTATATATCTAATTTAATTTTAGATTGATATAGAGTTTTCGATTTATTTTTTTTTTGACGAGAAGAGTTTTCAAATTTTGAATATACAAATGTAAGTAAAATTTTTTGACTAGCAAAGCTAAAGTAAAATTAAATTAACTTAGATTAATTAAATAATTTATTTCTAGAAAATATTTTCTTAGAAAATATTATGCCAAAAATTAATGTTGTATATATAAAATAATAATCAAAGATTCGGTATTGTACAACTTTATTTTTATTTTTTTATAAACATAGATATCTAATGAAATTTATATGAAAAATATTCTCATTTCTATAGCCATTAAACTAGTATATTACCCGTGCAATTTCACAGTTTGAATAGTTCAAAAATTAGATCTCACATAATCTAAACTATTGGCTATCATAGTATATAATAGCGAAATATTTTAGTGTACATTAATTGATTATTCATTATTTTATAAAAATTTTAATCACAATAATGTGTACACATCTAATCATCAATCACAACACTCCGTATCATGTTTTCATTTCGATGTTGAATAAAAAAAATTAGAAATAGCTATATGATAAATGTTTAAGTTATGCCCTTCAAATATATAGGTCATGCTTTATCATTTTAGATCATAATGAGTTATGCACATTCACATAGATCATATATTTCTCTTCATGTGCACTTTTTTTAATCAATAAAACATACTCTCTACATCCCATGATATAGCCACGGACTTTTTTTTTTAATAAAATTAAAAAAAAAAATACAGTGTATAATAAATATTGTAAATCGGTTGAAAAAATCTCCCTGAAATGAAAGATCAAAAGTTACCTAAGATAAATCAAAGACACCCCGATATAAATAAAAGTTTAGCGCGTTTTCTGAGTGGCTGGCCACACTGTTTGGTCGACTGACATACACCAAAACACTGGCCGGGTGATCGAGTAACCCCTAACTAATCGAGTATCATTGACTGAGTAACCCTTGACCGACTGAGTAACCCCTGACCGATCGAGAAATCCCAAATCGACCGAGTAAATCCTAACAAATCGAGTAATCCCTAACCAAGTAACCCCCGCGCACACGGTGTGGTCATGCAGCTTATTTTCTGGTTGACCACACTGTGTGGCCGAATGGCACACACCAAAATATTGACCGAGTAACCCCTGATTGAGTAACCCTTGAACGAGTAACCTCTGACCGATCAAGTAACCCCTAACCACGTAACCCCTGACCGAGTAACCCCTGATCGACCAAATAACCCCTGACTAATAAGTAACATCAGCCAGGCGGTGTTGCTAGCTAGCCAAATATGAAACTTTATGATAAAAGCTATGTATGCTTTATTAAAAAAGATACTCTAGTTAAATTATTTAAAAATATATGAGTGTGTAAAAAAAACCTATACTACTCTTATAAAACTTGTTTAGGGTAAAAATACCCCTCCACGTGGTCCAATCCTATAGCGACATGTGGCCCAATAAAAGGAAAACACGTGTCCCAATAACAAGATGACACGTGGAAAACAAAAGAGCATCTAAAAGAGAGAAAGCCTCCTTACATCAAGAGGCCCAAATCCCGAAAAAGGCGTCATAACGGCAACCCCAAAGGACACGCATCCTTACCCGATTACGCCGCTAATCAGGTCCCTCCTTTTTAGGGCACCAACCCTAAAGGGGCACACATTCCTACCCCTATACATACCCCAATCATATATGATGGGAGGGGTGGATTGAGACATATCATTTATTACATAAGCAAATTGCTCTAATTCTTTTACCTTTTCTCTCTTAAAACTTTCGTTTTCCGATCACTAACTTGATCATCAGAGGCGAAAATTTCGTCAAACGGAATATTCGTTGTTTTGTAGGTGTCCGCGACCGTCCGGCTATATTCAAGACTTGTATCCCGAGGGATTTAAAAAAACCCCGAAACATTTGACACCGTCTGTGGGGGATACACGTCTGAAATGGCTAAAGATGGTCAAACACCCGTTTCTGGTCAGGACGGCCATATCGAGAATATTGATGTCAACATCAATAGTAATGATCCTTTGACCGCCACATTCCATGAGGCCGAGGATCCTCTTATAACAGCCGGATCCTTGTATGCCGCCTTGAGCAAGCTTTGAAAGGAGCTTGAGGGTAAGATACCTTCTTCTTCTAGACAACCGTGCAGAAGAGAAGGAGAGGGCATCAGGAAAAAAAAACCCCAAGACAAGCGACCAACACTAAGGACACAGGGGTTACCCCATTCAGGAGGCACATGAGGTCCCCGAGTGTGCCTCGGACGAGCTGGTCGAGGCTTCTTGAGAAATCGAAGTCGGTTGGGGGCAGACCAATAAGCCTCAGAGGCAGCTAAACGAGTCGTCCTAGCGCTAGGATGCTAGAGACTATCTCCGGCACAAGCGGCAGGAGCGAGCACAGTCCTTCTACTCGGACACTACCTCCACTCCTACCATGCCGGATGAAATGTCAAACCATACCCTCTCTCAGCATACCAGCTCGGTTAGGACCAGCGAAAGTCAAGCTCATCGTACTCCAACTCTAGTTCCTTTATCGTAACCAGCTCAGTTTCAAATGCCCCACAATTATGGGTGCAATTCAGCCACCTACTCCCTCTGTGTACGGGCAATACGGCCAGTCGTACGATTAGGCAGCATACCTAGTCGTACCGGCCGCACAACCTCAACCTATTGATTGGCAAATGCGCTTGTTGACTCTTGGTGTCAAGCCGCCTCCGTTTTCTCAAGAAATTCTCAACTTTCCTTACCCTCCAAAGGTGAAGAGTGTACTTGTGGGTGCATATGATAGTACGGGAAACCCGGAAGAGCATATCTCTTCGTATAAAAATTTGATGTACTTGTAAAATGTGGATGATGTCACTTGGTGTAAATGCTTCCCGACCACCCTCAAGGGTGTGGCTCAAGACTGGTTGTTGTTTTACTACTCTCAGCCTGTTGTTCGTTGGAAACTTCTCCTATAATATACCACCTCGGAAGACTAGCTTAACTTGGCGACCATCGTCCAAGGGAAGAAGGAGGGATTGCATTCATACGTCCAAAGATTTAACATGGAGAAAGCACAAATTCAGAATCTGCCGGATGAAATGGCCTACTCGGAATTTCTTCGAGGCTTAAGGCACAATGGTTTTAAGTTTGACTTGATCAGGAAAAAGATTCGGACATACGCAGGTGTTCTGCAGGAGGCCGAATCATACATATATAGAGGTAGCTGTCTTTTATTCACTTACAAAAACGGAAGAGTCGACCAAGGGCGCCGAGAAGAAACCATCTTCTCAGCAAGACTCGGTCGGCAAATAGAAGGAAGGAGGTAACAAAAGAGAGGAATTCTGGGTGGCTGATTGCCAACATACCAAGTCCAAAAAAGCTAAGATGTACAAACCACAGTACGAATACAACAAAGGCTGTTATTCAATCTTGATGGAAATCAAGGACAAATTCGAGTTCGAAAAGCCCCAGCCTTTGAGGGGATCTGCCCACTACAGAAACAAAAACAAGTATTGTCATTACCACAAGGATATAGGGCATGACACGAATGAACGCAATAATCTGAAAAGGTTTTTGGATAAGCAGGGCGAGAAGGGCATGCTAAAATCGTACGTTCTGAAGTCAAGATTCACCTACTCTCGTACGGACAACAAGTCTGAGAAGAAGAAGGAAAAGAAAAACGATGATGAAGATGGGAATAGCACAAACTCAAGGTTTGTGGCCATCATCTCAGGCGGCATTGCTGCAGGCGGCCTAACCATGAAAGGAATTAAACAGGATATCCGACAATCCGCAAAGCTCATGCATGCGGAGAATGTCAAGGTGGAGCCATTCCTAGAGGTGACTGTTTGCGAGGCAAACCGAGGCAAAATTAGAACTCCCCATTATGATCCAATGGTATTCATTTTGAAGGTGGCCAATTTGAAGGTTAGACGAGTGCTAATAGACACCGGCAGCTCATCCGACATAATCAGCTTAGCTTATCTGAAAATTTTGAAGTTTTCAGAAGATGCGTTAAAGGATATCTCCCATTCACTGGTTGGGTTTGGTGAGAGCATTATCCACTCAGTAGGCCGGATAGATTTGCCAGTCCGGTTTGGGTCAAAGAGAGAAGGAAGGGACATGGTCTTCCGCTTCTTAGTTGTCAAAGAGCTTACAGGCTATAATATCATCATCAGTCGTCCGACCTTGAACTCAGCGAAGGCTGTAACTGTCCCTCATTTAATGCTAATGAAGTTCGAGTGGTCGGATGGGAAGATAAGCTTCATTTAAGGAGACCAGGTGATGGCAAAGGGTTGTTATTAGCTGGCCATGAAGCCAACTTCACTCGAACACAAACGGGCGTCCGAGAAAAACTCTGAAGAAGGGTCACTCCAAGCATATCAGGCTGGCAAGAAGCAAAACTCGGTCAAGAAAGAGTAGGCATAGAAATTAATGACCGTCGGTTGACTAGAAGAACTAAGGCCTCAGCCGACCAACGATCATACGGACATAGTGCTGGACCCAGACCAGCCTGATCGGACGGTCAAGGCTGGCGCTATGGCCATGAATATGCTTGGAGATGACTTAGTGAATTTGTTGAAAGAATTCAGAGATGAAGTAGTCTTGGTCAAAAAGCCGAATAGAATTGGCAAATGTGTGTGAATTACACTGATCTCAACAAGGCATGTCTTAAGGATAACTTCCCTTTGCCAAAAATCGACCAACTGGTCGATTCAGTGGCTAGGCATGCCCTGATGAGCTTTATGGACGCATACTTTGGTTTCCATCAAATCCCCTTGTGGGATGAAGATCAAGAGAAAATGACATTTGTGACCGAGCAAGGGTTGTACTATTACAAAGTCATGCCATCGGCCTGAAGAATGCCCCGACCACATTTCAGAGACTTGTGAATACGGTCTTTAGAGATCAGATCGGCCAGTACATGGAGGCTTATACTGATGATATGATTGTAAAATCAAAGAAGCCGGCTGATCATCTCAGTGACCTCCGAGAAACATTTACAGAACTCAGGCGGCATAAGATGATGTTAAATCCGAAGAAGTGTGTATTTGGTGTTGAGTCCGGAAAATTTCTCGGATTTTTAATTGATCAGCGCAGTATTGAGGCCAACCCTAAGAAGATCCAAGTGGTCTTAGACATGAAATCGCCGAGAACCATAAAAGAAGTTCAGAGATTGACCGGTATTTAGCTGCCCTCGGACGATTCTTGTTAAAATCAGGGGATATGTGTTGCTACTTTTTTCAAACAATCAAGAAAAATGCTATGTTCGAGTTGACGGAAGAGGTCGAGGAAGCCTTTGCTCAGCTGAAGAATCACTTGTATACACCCCCTCGGCTCGTCTTTCCACTCAAAGATGAAAGGCTATACATGTACCTTACAATTTCTGATCACTTCTTAAATGCCGTCCTGTTTGCTCAAAGGGACGACCACCAGATCCCAGTGTATTTCATCAGCCATACATTGCACAATGCCAAACTTAGGTATCCACCCATTGAAAAGTTTGGCTTAGCATTGTTCATGGCATCAAAGAAGTTAAGGCCATATTTTCTTGCTTATTCGATTGTGGTCTACACGGACCAACAGTTGAAGAAGTCGTTCACAACATTGGAGGCCAGTGGCTGAATGCTTAAATGGACCTTAGAATTGAGAGGATTTGATATTACATTCAAACCTAGAAAAGCAATCAAGGGTCAAGCCGTTGCAGATTTTTTGGCTGAAATGACACGGTTGGACATGCATCCGGTAGGGGATCAGATTTGGAAAGTGTTTGTTAATGGAAGTGCAACAGCGACCGGATGTGGCACTGGTATCATTTGTCTATCTCCGGAAGGAGATAAATTTGAGTACGCTTTGAGATTTCAGTTTCAAGCCTCCAAAAACGAGGCCGAGTATGAAGCCCTTCTGGCCGGCCTTAGAATGTGTAAAGCGGTCGGGGCAGCAAAAATTGATGCATGTTAGGACTCTCAGCTGATAGTTAGCTAAATGAATGGTGACTACGAGGCTAGGGAGCCGACAATGATGAAATATCTCTAAATGGTGAAGGAAGAGGCCAAGGGACTAGAGCATTTCACGTTGCAGCAAGTTCCTCGGTCCGAGAACAATTAAGCGGACGCCCTGTCCAAGCTAACCTCCTCGGCATCATGTGATACTCCAAGATCTGTATTTTGGGAAGTAAAGGAGAAGCGCAACATCGATGTCGAGCTTGTGCAGGTCATTGACCGAAGCTTCACATGGATGGACGGAACTATCTCTTATCTCGAAGTTAGAATTCTTCCGGACGACCCAAAGGAGAGTTGGGTGATGAAGAAAAAAGCAGCATGGTTTGAGATGAAGGGAGATAACTTGTTCAAAAAATCATTTGTCAAGCCATATTTGAAGTGTGTCACGCCCGAGCAGGGGCATGAAGTTTTGGACAACCTCCACTAGGGGCATTGTGGATCACTTATAAGCGGACGAGCCGCCTTAGCTGAAAAAGTGACCCATCTGGGGTATTATTGGCCGAGCATGAATTCGAATTCCAGAGAAATGGTGAAAAAATGTGACAAACCCTCATCCATCGTCCGACAAATAGCCTATCGGCCATAAGTAGTACACTCCCTTTTGCAAAGTGGGCATGTACATCTTGGGGTCGTATACTCCTGCATCAGGGCAACGACGGTATGTTTTAGTAACAGTTGACTACTTCACGAAGTGGGTGGAGGCTGAGGCCATCCGAGGGATCAAGTGGAAAGTAAAGGAATTATGTCTTCGTCAAGTGCAATTACTAGATATATCAAGGATCACTATTATGGAGATAATTATTTCATTCTTTTGGGACATCATTGTCTGTTGCTAGATATGATAAATGATCTACTAGTCAAATAGACCAAAGCCTAATAGAATGGATCCTATGAGGTCACAAACAAGGGTATTGGATTGAACAAGTATGAAGCCCAATAATGGGCCTCATGAGATAATAACAAGCCATGTGAGTAGGAAGGCTAAAGTAGATGGGATTGGATTAGGATTTTGGGCTTCACATGTACTCTAGTTATGTATGGGATATATAAATAGAGTCCTTGCCTGGGTTTTGAAAACAAGGTCATAATTTACCCATATAGTAAATTGTGAAGCAAGCAACCAAACTCCCTAACCCTAATCTCTTTCTCACATGCACGCCCCTCTCTCTCTCCTCCTCCCTGTCCGTACAGTACGGATGCCGTCCAAGGTGGTGCTCGGTGGTGGTGTGGTGATTCGTGGCTTGTTCGTTCCTCTCCTCTCCATAGAAGGTTGATTGTAGATTTCAATCACAACTAACTAGCATTAGTGGAAGTTCAATCCTTGCCCGTGGACCAAGTAGAGGAATCACGTTTGGGGTTCTAGTTCTCCTTATTATTCTTGCTCGATCACACGTGGAATCACGCTTCAAAGGTATAATTATATGTTCTTTGTGTGTTATGCATAGATCTTGGTTGTTAGATGCTTATGAATATGATTCATGCAATTCCGCTTATAGTATCTAAAGTCCTACAGAAAGATGTATCTGCCATCATCTGGAAGAATATAATCACACGTTTTGGTGTTTCACAATCAATGGTTTTCGACAATGGGCCATAATTCGAGACCGACCACCTCAAAGATTGGCTTGGTGACCAAGGCATAGCACATTGCTTTGCTTCGGTTGGCCGGCCAAAAGCTAATGGCCAAGTTGAGGCATATAACAAATTGATCTCCGATGGCATCAAGCAGAAACTTGAGAAAGCAGGCGGCCTATGGGCCGATGAGTTGATCAATGTTTTATGGTCCATTCGAACAACAACTAGGAGTTCAATAAGAGAGACCCCATTCTTTCTGGTCTATGGTGCAGAAGCCGTGCTCCCAATTGAGATGTACGAGCCCACTCTGTGAGTGATGCTATATGATGAATCGGCCAATTGGGAGGCCATGAAGACCGCCCTAGACTTCCTTCCATAAGCTAGGGGCAACGCGGCGCTTAGACACGAAATATATCGTCTAAGAATGACAAGGGCATATAATCGAAAAGTGTCAAAGCGGCCGCTTAAGTTGGGAGATCTTGTTTTGAGAAAAATGGAAGTAGTAGGCTGAGCTAAAGAAGATGGCAAGCTAACCCCTAATTGGGAAGGGCCTTACCGAATTAAAGAAGAGGTGCAAGATGGTACCTACCGTCTTGAAGCTTTGGACGGCCGTCCTATCCCACGTGCGTGGATTACGGACAACCTAAAAAAATACTATGATTAAAGTTTTTGTACTTAGCCTTAAAGTTGTGTATACAATTAGGTCTAGCGACTGAGCAATGTAATCAAGGCCGTACAACCAAAACCATGTAATTTTGACAGAATTAATGAAAAAGTCAAACATTGTTATTAAATTTTTTACATATATACTGCGTAAGTCTAACTAATGTTAAGCAGAAATGTCGCCTAGAAACTTAAACAAAGGTTGCTTGCGACATAGCAGCTCGGCCCTCAAACGGGGCAGGGTTGAATGACTGGGAAAAATGCCTAACAAATGTTTCTCTCAGCAAAGCAACTCAGCAACAATGGTCAGGTTTCTATTAAATTCATTCGGCCATGAACTTGGTCGGACGTATAAGAAAGAAGGTAGCCTAAAATTTGTCTAAGGCAATTTAACCCTTAGGGTAGTGGTAAAGGATTTTGACACGTCGTTAAATGCTCAAACCTCTATCAACAATATTTGTAAACACTTTACTTTCCTAACATGAGTATGGGGGTAAGTCAAGGGTCGGTCCACAAGGAATGGGAGTCGATTGCTAAAGTCTATGGTAAAGCTACTTCGAAGCTAAGATAGCATTTGGTGTGTAAGCTATGTCATATGTTATCCAAGAAACTAAATCACTAGAGAAAATCGATATCACAAACACTATAGGGATTAGGATCCACATGCAATCGAGATAGAAATGCTAATTGAGGAGCAGGTCGAATCATTCAAAATGTTGCAAGGACTAATAGTCGTAATCAAAAGAGTTCAAAAGGTTATCTCCTAGAAGTGAAACTAGGTTTCCTCTATGAATAACTAATCAAAGAGAATCACAATTCAAAATCAATCAATAAATGCAATCCCTAAATCAAGTGGTCATGTCATTAGGAACTACAATGCAATCTAGCTTGGAAATCAAGGTTGATCACTCCTATCAAGCCAAACACATGCACAATTATATTAATCAATTTAATTAAAACATCAATCAATCAAAATCCCCAAATTAACAATTTTCCATCATTCATGCATGCTTCCCCTTCACCCTAGCAAAG